GCAACAACAACAGCCGCAGCCAAAGCCACATCCACATCCACAGCAACAAGCTATTTGCGACTCACGACTTTTCATGCAATTTTGAATTTAAAATTCTTCACACACTCTTTTCATTATGTGGCTTCATTCCCTGCCACACAACTGCTGCCCCCCCCTCGTCTGACTGCCTCGCGCTTCTCTCGTGTCCCGCCTGCAGGCCGCTGCCTGTAAAAATGGCCCGCCATCGAAGCCAAAAGGCAGCAAAATAAGATGCTACTCTTGTGGCCATCTTGAAGTGGTTGTTGTAATGGGCGAGTGTGTGTGTGAGTAGGTGAATGTGCGTGTGTGTGTGTGTGTGTGTGTGTGTGAGAGGGCAGTATAGTGGAAGACGCCTCAGAATCACGCGCCATTTACGTTTTTATTGGCGCTGGCGCTGTTAGCAGATCACAGTGGGCCAAATATGGGTTTAAATGGACAAAAATATGTGGGAGAATAATATATTATATGGCATAATATAGTGATGGAATAGCATATGATATTGAGCCATTTGGCAATTGCTAATATATGATTCTAAGTAAAGGTTATAGAAGCTGATCCTAAGAGAATTTTCTTACTATCATAAAGAGTTTTAATGTGAAGAATATCGCTACATATACATGCTCATAGTTTTCTATCATACTCTCTTCGATGCATTCCATTTACTTCGGGTCTGCAAAGCTGTTTCATCTCAGCTTACCTGCAATTGAAGCTCTTAGTTTCGTCCCATTTCCACTGGTTTGGTGCCACTGTGCCGCAAAGCGCGTGGATTTTGTGTTGGTGTCGTTGGCGATGATGAGGCTGACGTTGACGATGACTGGGCTGCCTGCCCTGCTCAGTGGCTAAGCCCGCTTGCTGCGGATGTGCCTGTCTTGGACGGCGATTGCCGCTGCAGCTGTTGCTGTTGCTGTTGTTGCTGTTGCTGTTGCAGCTACCACTTGGTGGTCCAATTCACCGAATTGACTATAATCAGTCTAGTGGCAAGTACTTTTCGAGTGCCCACTCATGCACTTCTGTGCAGCGTGAAGAGTGCGGAGTAGGTGCAACTGTGGCCAGTGCGGCGCTGGCTGGGTCGGCGAGTTGCAAGTGGTTTCGCGCTCTCTCTCACATATGCAAATGCGCGTTGCGCCACACGGTCTAGAAACGTCAGGTACACTCGAAGCCTGGCTCTCAAGAGTGCCGCGATGCATACACACAAGCAAACACAAACACACACACACACACACGCACGCACTATTAATTTATTACATACAATGCAACAAATTACACCACTCATTAATATTTAAGCCAAGTTCTGCCAGCCAGCCAGCTGTAGCGTGTGGCCAGGAGTCTGGCTGTTCACTTTTTGGGGCGGTACATGCCCAGGGACGTCTCCAGTCGGCCAGCGCTCATACCTAATAAATCTGTAATTTGTAATTAATGTGAAAAATTGCCGCCCGAGACGCCAAACAAGCCTAAATTGTTATTACGAGCCGCGGTGCAGGTTCAGAGCCAAAGAGGTCCACTTCATAAAAAAAACACTGCACACAACATGTGTGCGACACAGTGAGTGTACGACATGTGTGTGTGTGTTGCTCTGGCTGTCTGTTTGTCGTTTGGTTTTGTTGTGGGTCAAAGCCATAACTCTTCGACAAGTTCGGCAGTTCGACAAACGCATGAGCCTGCGGCCCGAGTCTGGCTTGGACTGGTCAACAGAAATGTTGGCCCAAAGGCGGCGCGGTTAATGTTCGTGCTGTGTTTCATAAATATAAATTAAGCCACTTGACTAACGCAACAGCGCCAGCGTATTTAAGACTCGTATATCTGAAAAGTTGGTCAACAGATTGCCGAAAAGAAAAATAAAACAAAGCCAAAAAAAAATATATCATAACTATGGCCAAAAAGCAGAGCAGATGCAGACCGGCATATCGCGCCATTGTCTGCTGAAAGCAACTCATGCGGCGTGATTAATATGGAAGATGGCCAAATCAGATCCATAGCCAACGATTTATGGATATAGACGGGAAGCTGTGAGCAGCTGACAAAGCAGCGACCGAAGTGTGTGACAACTTAATCAAGTCCAGCGCAAGAACTCTGAAATATTTTGCAACTAAATAAATATTTTGTAATTTATATATTATACACCGGAAGTCAAAGAAAATTAGAAAAGTCGATTTAAATTTTTGTTCATAATTAGCTTTAATTGATAGGCAAAACTTTTGAAGAGCGGACTTTTACATTATATTTAAAATTTGGTAAAAGATCTAATTTGTCAATATATTTCCTTATATCAACATTTTCTATACACTTCTTTATTTATAAATATTATATATTATATATTTAAACAAAAATGAAATATATGTACAAGCTTGATCCTTATATTAAAGTATAACATACACTCATATATATTACTCCAGTCTTGTTCAGTTTAGTCAAAGATACATTTTCAAGGCAGTTACCTTTTTACCTGTAATTCCATTCAGCTTACCTGAAAACTCACTTCAGTTCAATTAAAAGCAGCCCTACCTAGGCCCATTCAATTAACAAGTTCAGGTGACACAAAAACCAAGCGAATCATTCAAATTAATTGCCTGCAGTTGGCTGAAAAAAATTCATGTTTCTTATTATAGCTGAAACACAATTAGCCCATTAAAAGTGCTTTAAATAGGGCACAAAATGTCTGCCTGTGTGATTGATAATATTCGAAAGCGATACGAAAAATATAAAAAAAATCAAGCTATATATTACTCTACGGATATTTTTAACAATTGACCGCTATTTGGCTATAAAAAAACAAATGAAAGAAGTCTGCACATTTCGCACTATTGCCCTTTATATATTTGTAACGCGCCAACTGCTATTCGAGGCGGTCAAATTGCTAACCGGTCAGTCACCGAATCAAAACAATTTTTGGATCATGCTGGCCAAGAGAGGTAACGCAGTTGAGTGAGTGATTCAATGATTCAGTGGAGCAAAACGTGAGCCCCGAGACGTGAGACAACAACAATAAGCAACGTTTATATGCCTGATGAGCGGGCGCCTTTGACTGCGACCCCAAAGATACGAGTATAACAATATTTTTCGTTCACTTGTGATATTTATTTTTTTCTCAACGAATCAATCACAATGATTATGATAAATGATTTTGGGTTTTCACTATTTTTGTATACTTTATTTTTCGGGCCTCCATTGTTTGATATCCACATTTTTTTTTTTTCTTCTTTGATTTTTCGGTATTTTTGCATTATTACGCCGCGTAATGGCCGATCAGCGAGTCGGTCTGTAATTGCCGGCATATAAATCACAGTGAAAATATATAATTTCTGTTAGATGATCTGTGCGGCTGACCGTAGTTGATTAGCACATTTGTCCAGCTTCAGCTCCAGCTCCAGCTTCAGCACCAGCTTCAGCTCAATGGAGTTTCACTTTTATATCAAATATTTCTCGCAGCGAAAACGAAACACGTAATGCTGACCCAATGAACTCTTCAACAGTACTTGCAATTTTTTTTCATTGTACTCAGCTGCTTAGTTAACGGTTTCGATTGTGCGCTATGACAATACAACGTTTATTTAGCGGCTTTTGCGCTTATCGCATTTTTCTAATCTTGTTAAGAAACTTCATTAGTGTCAGACAGCGGACGCCTTCCATGCATTGATTAATGTGTGTCAGGCGGAAACTTCGGAGCACCGAAACGTGTAACAAGGCGGCAATGGACCACCAGCAGATACTAGAAAAAGCCAGAGCCTGAGCCAGAGCCAGAGTCAGAGTCAGACCCCAGCGCAGCCACGTCCCCGGCAGCTGCTGTATGTATGGTAGCTAGAAACCTGAACCTGACTCATAAATGTGGCTATGTTTGCATAGACCACGCCCCTTTCATGTTGGTCGCCTGCAATTTGAGGTCTTTATTGTGCACTTTATTTATAAAGGTGGAAACTGCATCATTAGTTTGCGCTCCAAGCTAAGCATGTGCCTCAACCTGATAGCTAGCTTAAAAGGAGCGAGATTTATTCCATTTAATTTGTTAGATAAAACCACACAAGAGTATTAAAAGCGTTAGAATAAATAGACGAGCTGTGAGGGGAGAATGTATGTAAGCATATATGCATGTATGTATTGGTTGAAAATTATAGTTCAGTGTATAATAATGTTATCAAAATGTATGAACTAGGTATGCCTGATACCAGAAAGTATCGCTTGCTGTAGATGTATAATATTATGGCTTGGCATATAATTAAAATATAAATTCTAAATTAATAAAAGATTGGTGTAATTATGGTATTTCTAATATTAATTAATTAATATAATTTATCAAGTTTAAAGTCGAAGCTCAAGGACACTGCTATTTTTGTGTATAAAATGTGTAAATGGAGCTGAGAATAATTTAAATACCTAGCATAAAAATTCAGGTGTATTCTACTCGGGCACACACTACGAAATTCATAGTCAGATTTCACTCGAGTTATTATTTATTTTTACTTCGCAAGCCAAGTTATGAATTTATAAACGCACTATAATATTCTCACTTTGAAAACTTGTTAATCCTTCAATTAAGGTATCACAATTCCCAAAATATCATATATCATATGTGTATGTAGTATGTAAACTAAGCTACTAAACCATTTCGAAATCATTTTGCAAATTAATTCGCAAACGAGACCTGCTCTACGTATGCATCTAGACTCTGGCATGGACGAAACCTGAACAATGTCTTTTATGTTGCATATACATGCCGCATGCAGCATTCATGCATTCATATAATTTATGAAATAAATTGCAACTTTTTGGGGGGAACAACTTTCGAAAAAGTGCTAACAAGCTGCCGCTGCCGTTGCCGTTGCCTTTGCTTTTAACGTTGTGGTAGTTAGTTGTTGCTTTACAAATTTAAATTTGACATTATTTGGCAACATTTGTAGCCGGCTTTAATAATTTGTGACAAGTTTTTTAATAAATGTGCTCAACTATATTTATTTATTTATTTTGGTATTTCTGTTCATATTTTGCAGTCTGGCCTGTCGGAACACCCAGCACGCAAGCGCAATCGCAATCCATGTGGCCGATGCATTGACGTTGCTCCGCAGAGACACTTGTCGCCCAGCTGAGTGAGCCGCGTGCTCGGGTTGAGCTGTGAGAGGGGTAAAATGTTTTCACGGCAGCCGGCTGCTGGCGGCGCGGATATATATCAGGATGAGGCAACATCAACGCTGCGATCGGCGTTTCCCAACTCTCGACTGGATTCGCTGGCGGCGCATCCAACGCCCGCGAATCCAGCGGATCCCAGCATGGACAGCCAGCTGGCTGCGCCCGATCCAACCGAACTGGGCGGCGCCAGTGCTGGCTATAATCCGAGTCTGGACGATGACTGGTGGTCCAATGCCATCGAGGTGGACACGTTCGATTCGCCGCTGGCCTTCGATGCCAGCGAGAATGGGCTGTGGAATGGACATTTTGTGCCACCGCCGCCCCGTCCACCCTTTCTGGATGAAAGCGTCGCCGCTGACGGCCTGACCACCTGTGATCTATGCACGTGGGCCTGGCAGCGTAATGCCTACTCCCTAGACGGTTCGATAGGTGAGTACCGATGTCTGCCATGCCCTCCCACTAAGCCCCTCCCCCTTAAGCAGCGCCTCGTCGCCTCTTCGTCTTTTAGTTTTATCTTACTTTTATTTTTTTCAATTAAAAACTCAGCCCATCCTCAACAAGACAATACGAGTTATCGGCGCAGCGCTAGCCGAGCAACGCCGCGCATCGCCGCACATCGATCGCTGATATCAATTTATCAAACTGATGTTGGGCGTGCGTGGCGCGATTGCTTTTCGGCGCTGTATTTTTCAAAAGCCCAAGTCTTTCCGGCTCTTGGTATGGGTCTGGGCCTGCTCCTGCTCCTGCTGCTGCTGCCGCTGCTTCACTTGCGTTTGCAAATTTAATTTTGCGCATAACTCTTGGTGGCACAGCCTTTGGCTTAGGCGTTCCCCGCCTTGTACCCTGCCTGGATTCGGTGATCTTGGCTGCTCCTTGCTATCGCAGCCATCGCTCGCTTCAGTCATTTGTCTCTGCGCTTGTAAAATCGCGCAAAAAGTAGAAACAGGGCGGGGCCGAGAGGGGAACGGCGGGACACCTCATTGTAACATGGCTTAGACGAAACATCATGAAAAATATGAGGCAGTGGGCGTGTGCAGAGCTCGCTGCAGCTGATGCTCAAGATTAGAGGAGTCTGCCTAGACGCTTCCACTGGGCTGCTTATAAAGCATTTTTCTTTAATTTATTTGAACAGAAATAAAGCAATATACACGCGGCTATCTGCAAGGCGTATTAAATTAAAACTGAAATAGATCTTGTCACAATTAGATAAGTGCCAGAGTAGTTGTTGAAGAGCGAAGCCTCGAAACGGAAGTGGCACGATATGGCAACGGGGCTTGCCTCAGTATAACTATATAAGCTATCAAGTCTGTGTAATCCTCTATTTGAGAAGCAATTATTGTGGATTTTAAGTTAATGAAGTACCATCTCTATGTATGTATATCTCACATACTTCATTTATGACTCTATAGAGTTTACATACTTCATATAGCTTTAACTACTTTACAGACTTCATAATCTACATTGAATCATTATACTTCATATATTTTCTACTCATATACTTCGTATACTGCATGCATTTCATATTCTATACATACTTCATATTTATCATGTATTTCAAATATTTCCTGTACTGCAAGATGTATGTGAATCTTCAACTTCTATATTTACTGTAGTTCTCATACTTCCTGTTCATCATTCATATTCTACAAATAGATTATATACTTCATATATATTATAAACTTTTCAGTAGAGTATGAGACTACTACATATACTACATATACTCTACATAGTTCATATAAATCATAGACTTCATACCCTTCACCACCTAAATAATTCTCGTATATACCTCATCCACCTAACATGCTTTGCATGCTTCACACACTTTATATACCCTACATATACCTCATGCATACTTCCTTCCTTCCAGTGCATATCACTGTATAAGCTTCAAGCATTGCAAGCTCTTCACTATTCCGCATGCACTGCATTATTTTCCGACTAAATTCGTCTGATTAATAATTTCACAATGCCCAATCAGAGCTCAACTGTTGAAAACTTGTTAGAAGTAACCCCCCTGAAATGAGTCAAATACCAAATGCACAAAGCGAATACCAAATGACCGTTGGCCACATTCGCATATCCAGCAAGCATAAGAGGATGAATGGACGGAGGGTGTATATGGCATGGCATGGCATTTAGCCGTTTGGCGTATTTGATTTCCAGGAATCGCTTTCAGCGCAAATTGAAGTCATTATACAGGAAGAGTCGAGGCAGGGGCAGGAGTCGGTGTCGGTACTGTGGCGCAGGAGTAGGCGAAGCCTACTATTGCAGCTGGCGGCCAAAAACAAGGCAGAGACCGTTGCCCGTTGCTCGTTGCCAGTTGCCAGTTGCCAGTGCCCGTTGCTCGGGTTATTAGGCTAATTATAGACTGGGGCAAACATTTCAGTATTTCTCATCATGCGCTCATATGGAACTACATACACACATACATATGTATGTATTTGTATGTGTGTCTGTATAAATGACTTTATTCATGCCGACTGTTTGTCGCGCCGTCGCGCCGTCTGCTGCCGGCGTTTGCCCCAACCGCTGCCAACGTGTCAACTAATTTGCAACACTCGCCTGGACTAGTGGATGGGGGCATAGCTGGTCAGTTCCCTGGAAATACCTGCGGCGGCCCATGCCTTTTCTTTTTTGAAGGGATTAAGCGGCAACAGCTTCTCCATACACCAACAGCAAAACAGTGGATGAAAAAAGCAAAAAATAAAAATAAAAAATCATTTGACTAATGTCTTAATTTTGTGCCTAGGTGTTTTTGGTTGTTTCGGCCAGAGCAGTCGCTTGGCTGCGCTACACCAAGCCCAGGCGCAGGCGCAGGCCCAAGCTCCAAGTCCCAAATACATCGAGTCGTGCCTCAGCTGCAGCGAATGCCATTCACTTCGCTTCATCCGTTGCCGGAGCCCTGGCAAATTGAGATTTTGCATGTCGTGGCCCATGTCTAGATTTCTGTTTCGTTTTGTTCGCCGCTCAAATTGACAGCTGAATAAAATGTTATTATATTTACACCATAATTTGCATGGCAATTAATCAAATGGCATGCGAAATTCTGTCGCTTCGACGGGGCAGCAACACCAACAACAACAATAGGCAACACCAATGCCAAAATGTTGCCCAACAAAATGCTCTTTTTGTTTGCGACACTTTTTTGTTTTGTTTTGTTTTTAATTTCTGGGCGCCCTGGCAGGCAATTCCCAGAATTTTCCGCAATTCTAGCAAAATATCAAAAGGTCGAAACCGCCCGAAATGTCTAAATTATGAGCGCAAAGCTTTGAGCCGCAACGAATTTTGCACGCTGCTTGTTAAGCAGTTGCCAATTGGGTGCCATTAGAGATGGCCAAGAAAGCAATGGGAAACAGGGGAGATATACGTATGTATGTGTGATATATATTTGTGAAGTTTGAGAAGAGTGGAGAATTATTTTGTAAAGTCTCATATAGGAGATCCCTTTTTATTATTATGTAAAGATAATTTCAATTTTGTATAAATTGATCCAAGAATTAGGATCTTTATTATATATCATCAGATAAACTGTTTAGGATAGAACTCACATTAGAAATATCACAGAGCACCCCACTGAGACTTGGCTCAGCTACGAAAATCTCTTCAATATTTCCATCTACATACTTAAATATGGCATACGATATTAATCGCCTCACACGCTCCTCTCCACTCATATTCACCTGCCCATCGCTCACCTTGAGCGTCAGTTTATGGCAAATTAAGTTCACGGCTTGATTGTTTAGATGGAATATTTGCGTATAATTTATGCAACGCCTTAGTCGTTTTTATGACCGGCTCTGGCTGAATTGTTGGTCTGGGGCTGGGTCTGGCCAAAGCCAAAGTATAAGCAAAAGAAGCAAAGAACACAACGAAAAAGGGTTAGCAATTCGACATTCCACATTTTCCAAATATTTACAGCAATTTGTAGTACAATAAAAATGTAACAACTTGGCTAAAGGAACCCACAAAAAAGGACTTTGTGTGGCAGCAAACAATGACAAAGGCAAACCCGACCAACCCGACATCAGCAGCAGCAGCAGCAGCTGTTAAAGGCTCCTGCTTCGACCCGCCGCCGCCTTTGGCACTTTTGATATTTTTATTGTTGTGGCGAAATATACATAAAATCACATAAATAAATTTAAGTTGCTTATTTAATGCAGAACCCAACCAACAGTAAGTGGGTCAAAAAAAAAAAAAAAAAAAAAGTTTCCCAATGGCTGTGAATGATGGGGCGTATGTTGTAAAGACCTAAACACTTGGAGCCCACCCACTGCGTCTGATATCATAAATGGCATAATGCCATTGTGCCACAAAGCACCATAAATATTGTAAGGCCATAGACGTAACAATTATTGACAGATTTATGGACAGCAAAAGCTATTCAAAGTGCTTCAGTCCGATTACCAGCTACAATGGCTCGCCAGCTCTGTGTGTGTGTGTGTGTGTGCGTGTGTGTGTGAGTGTGTGTGAGTAGCAGCTGCTGGTGAATTGTGAATCGAAACTGTAAAGCCAGTAACAATAAGCGATATTTAAGCATATCCATTATCAATTTATAGCATACTTCTGAGCTGGCGTACACTGAGCGAAATTTCGCTTAACTAAATTCAAGCTAAAATACTTAAAGCTCATTAAGAAATGGATAATGCTATACGATATGGCAATACTTAATTGTACAGTTATTCAGCTATATGCAGAACTCTCTCTCCTGCTCTCTCTCTCTCTCTCTCTTTTTCTTTGTACAGGGTGCTCACTGCACATTCTATGGTACTTAAAATAAATATTATATGGCACATTAAATAAATATTATATTGAAAACGGGAATGCCTTGTTGGCTGTTCGGGCTGTTCATTTTCCAGAAGCAATTATGATTTTCAGCTTTTCCGCATCGTTTAGCCGGTCGGTCGGCTACGCCTCATGAACTGTTTGCTCACTGGCATTCGCTCGTTAACGCCTGCCTATGTTATAAGGAGGAAAACAATAATATGAGTCTAATCTGCAGATTATTAAAGTAGCAAAGACAAACCGCAAGAGCCACAATTTTTTTTCTCGATTTTCTCCTGTTTTTTTTGCCATCCAAGTGAAGCCTCTAAAAACAGCCTCTGTTTCGGCCGAGAACTATTCAAATTTGTAAGCGGAAATGAGTGAATTCTTCTCATGTTTTGTTGTTTTGCAGATTGTGTTTTGTTTTTGTATTTTGTATTTTGTTGGCTCTGTATTTGTTTGTGTTTTGTTGTACTGTGCTCTCAGTCGTATAATTGTTGCAACGCACTGCGGCTGGAGGCCATAAAAAAGTAAACATAATACACACACACATACACACACAGAGACAGAAAGAGTGCAAACTGAACTCTGGGGCTGGAGGAACTCCACACCCAAGCAGCCAAGCAGCGAGAAAACTTATTTGCTATTTTCATGGAATTTTCATAATT